ATATATCAAAGAAAGTGGAAAAAACCATGTCCAGATCAATAAATACCTCAATAGCATCAGCAAAACTGTCAATACCAACCAATACCATCAATACCAATACACCAATACACCAATACTTATCAATACCTTCAATACCAATACCCAAGAGTATTGGTATTGGTACATGCCTAAGAACGAAGAACAGTTAAGAGCTAATTTTTCCTCATACAGTACACCTCTATGAATACTACGTTGGTCTAAATATTTTACAGTTTCTGCTACTTTTTTTTATCATCTTTGGTTTTCTGGACTTTAAATTCTAACTGAGAAAAATCATTTTTAAATGTGCGCCCATAAAAATATAAAGAAGTGTATTATGTCAGTGCTCCTTTCCCTCAGGATGACCAACAAACGCGTTCACATAAGAAGAATGCACGAGTCACAAAATGAGCAGGAAATAAATTTTTTGACTTGTAATCAATCTTAGACAAAATACTGCGCACTACCTACCTATTTCCTACTCGGATATCACTTAAGGTTATTTAGGATCCGAACGGAATCTTAGAAAGTCGTATGACTTTCAAGTATACCTGATTTCATTAAGATTATGTAGACTTTTGTTAAGATTCTTAAAAATTATAGCGAAATCCTAGTAGGATACTGGTAGGGTATGTCTCGGATCCTGTCGGGAAACTAACAGCACTTTTAATAGGGAATGCTTTCACGAAAAAACTTAACTATGTGTCAATAAATCACGTCAAAACTACGAAATTTTCGAACTGAATGATCTATACCTCGGTAAGGAAACGAGATATCAACTTGAAATTTTTTTTATAGAGGAGTGGGCACAGAGGAGTGAAAACTTTGACGATTGATGGACGAGGAACGGGAATTATAAATGCTATGAAAAGCATCACTTATTTGTAATACTTTTTTTATTGTTCTACTTTACTTATTAGATAATCTTTTGTCTTCCTAACATATATATATGCTAACAATGAGTAAACTATGGTCGTCAGATGATCCATCAGTTTGGTTAGCTGAATATTCAAGTTTAGATGATAAAAATTCATCTTTAGCCTCTGTATATAAATCACGTATCCAACAATTAAATAAATCAAATTTATTAGAATTAAATAATTGGATTAATGAAGAATTGCCATCTATAGTCAAATCACGTTCACCATTTCATATATTAAAAAATGAACTTAGTCAATTAATGAAATGGAAATTATTACATGGTCAATATCGTCCTAGATTACAACAACTAGTGGAATCAAATAGTGAAACAACAATAATTGATTGTACAAAACGTGCTTATACAATAGCACAACAAACTTCTAATAATCAAGAACAATATTTATCTCTAGTTAAATCGGCAATAAAAATTTTATGTGAATTACATGGTGTTGGTCCAGCGACAGCGTCAGCTGTATTATCTATTATCGAACCAAATCAATTTCCATTTATGGATGATGAAGCTATGAATTCTATACCCAAATTAAAACCAATTAAATATACAATAGAACATTATTTATTATTTGTACAAGAAATAAGAAAAAAAGTACAAATATTACAAAAAAATTCATTAGATAGCGATAATAAGCAATTTTGGACAGCTAATCGATGTGTTCAATGTTTATGGTCTGAAAAACATTCACAAACAGTCAGTAAGAAAGTCAAAAGAACAAATAGTAGTGATGATGAGACAACAGCACGTAAAAAAACAAGAAAATCAAATATATAGTCTATAAAATGTTTTCTTTTAGCTATACACTTTGATGTCAAATAAATTTCTATTATTTTAGTTCCATTTCATCTATTTTTGAAAATGTTTTCCAACTGGAAAGAGAGATTTTCAGAAGACTTCCTCGTAATATTTCTTTTCAATAATGCAGAATTGTAAAGCAGTCATTTCTGTTTCAAACGAGATGTTGGACGGCTCTGTATGATGTTACGGTTGGAAGTTATTCTAGCATAAACACCTCAAAAATCATGCACAAATGGTATAAAGGACTCTTTTCTCCAAAATGATTTTTGACTTCACAGCTGTTGCCATAGCCCGAGTTTCTCCGTAATGACTTATTAGAAAGTGATCATCGTTTTATATTTAAAGATTTCACTTTGGGCAACAACTTAACAGACCTTGACTTTTAAAATATACTTTTGCTTTTTGTAGAAATGAAGATTTTTAGAAAATTTCTGAATGATTTTTCGGATTTTCAATTTGTAGTGCTCACCAAAAATCAATACAATAAGAACTCAAATATCGGGTTGTATTAAGAGTTGTATTAAGGGCTCCTGGAAACAGAGGAAGCCTACAGTACTGGAAAAAATTATAGAGCTACCCTATGACATCAAAGTTTTTCGTAATTTTTTCATCAGTTTCTTGACTTATCAGTTCGAATTACTTTCTCACTAGTAGATTCGAATACGCTCTTTCCGAATATGTTAAAAAGAAAGTTCAAATATCACATCGTTATCGCGAAAAAAAATAAACAAAAAAAAGATCCCACTTTTTGGTCGAAAAAATTATAGAGCCACTTGAAAATTTTTGCATTTCTGATGTCTTCTTGTTTTCAACATTTGCTGAATGAGTTGCCACGTGCTTTGATACACTGTCTTATACGTCTCGGGATTGAATCCACTAAACTTTGACACTCTTGACAGCTGACTTTATTCCAAAGATCGTGAATCATTTGCTCCAACTGAGTAACATTTGTCGGTTTCAAATATCGAAGCTTGATAAGAGAAAAATTGGGTGGTCGTATGCTCAACAAACCCAGTTTTCAAACGAGAGATCGGCTAGAAAAGCACTGACCACTCACACTAGAGAATTTGGGAGGTTTGTTTGATCGAAGATTAATTACCGACCGGTTTCACTTTTATTAAAATAAAAGCTCTTCGGGGTATCTCTTTAATATGTGTTTAATATAAGCCCGTTTTCCCATTCAACGTTACCTCAGACACCCAATTTTTTTACCACGTATCACGACATACTAGCCGATACGAAAGATATACTCCTCCGATGGACATGAAATTGTGAAACACGACGGTTACTCGTAGACGTGAGTCCTCGTCGCGTCTATCATAGTCTGTAAGAGCTGGATAGATGAGGCTATCGAAATGCCTGTCATGATCCGTGACACTTGAGAATTGTATCCAATCTGTCTGTCGCGGTTTGTGGAGTGGCTTGATGAGGTTTCGTTTTCGTTCACAACACTCAATTACATTCGTGTTTTACGAAAGTTTTCAGGGTGTTAAAGAACGCTACATGATAGAAACAAAAACATATTGTCAGAAATTCTAGTTGTTTGCGTTCCTGATCAGTTAGTGTAAAGTTAATATAGTTAATATAGTAAAGTTAATAAGAACCAGTTTTTAGGAAATAATGCCTCTTATCTCGGTAACGGAAAAGACTTGAGCAGAGATATTTTCGAATTAAGCATGTCCTTATGCTAATAAGTAACTTGCAAAAAAGATTTTTCTTCAACTCGCCTGCAAAAAAACTCCAGCCAAATCTATTTCGACTCCATATGTGTTCAAAGAATCATAGATCAAAGAACACCTATTGTTTTCTTGTTGAAAGAACTGTTCAACATATCTTTTCTCGAAAAGAATCGAAGTTACAAACCTGAATCGTCATAGGCCTACTGTTGACCACGATCACCTAAAAATGTTGTGCTGATATCGAACTGTTATTGTCAATGTTCAGAGATGTATTCGTTTCTATAAGGTCAGAAGCTATTATAAGCCAGAAATCATCTTACCTTTTACAAAACCTTGGTAATAAGATAAATAAGTAACACTTTCTAACCTTTTTTCCAATATTTATAGCTTGATTATGCATACGACATAAAAGTGATGTATGTTAACTAAAGTTTTTTCAACAGAATGAATCTGATATGATTGTTTTACTACCTATTTATACGTTACAACGCTATCAATCAAACAACAAAGTGAAAGCACGTCTCACCACATCCACATATCTCCTTTCTCTGGTGGTGGGCGAATACGTTTGGCGTTAGCACGCGCTTTATCCTCCAAGTGCGTCACTATTAGTTGAGTTGTCTAAAAGCGTTGAGCTTGCATTATAAATAAATTCTCGTCTCACCTACCCAGGCGAAAAAAAATCGTTAGAAACGGCACGAAAAACGCGTTTTTTCTGAACGTGTTAGCAAACGATCGTTAAAAGAGCCGCTTAAATGCGTTTCTGATAAAATGCCAGATTTTATTCATCAATGTCATAAGTGTATGGTAAAAGTGTCTACTTTATATTTTTGAAAAGGCAGATGAACTGATCATCTGGAGCAAACAAAAAGACGGTTTGTTTTTAAGAGTAAATTTAAACTATTGTAGTAGTTTAATAGAATCACTTTCGTGATTCTACCCAGGGGTAAAAAAATTGACAAGAAAACGCGTTCTTTTTCGTTTTTAACGACCAATAAACACGTTAAATGTTTCAAAACCAATGCTTTTTTTTGTTGTTTAAACGCGTTTTTCTTGATCTATTCGTTTGAAAAGGCGTTTTTCGGAATTTTGCCTACATTACCTTACCTTACCTTACCATATCTAAAATTCTCCAAGGTTTCCTGAACTTCTCCACCTTACCTTACGGTACCTTACCTTACGGTACCTTACCTTACGGTACCTTACCTTACGGTACCTTACCTTACGGTACCTTACCTTACGGTACCTTACTTTAGTTAACCTGGTGTAATCTTAGGTGCTCTTGTCTGCCTTACCTTACTCTGCCTGAAGTTATCTTAATACACTATTCATTGTCCTGTGGTGTACTAGCTTCGCTGACTGAAACCTAACATTTATGTCGTTAGTTCCAGTTAAAGTGGCCTTTTTCTGACTTCTCAGAAAAAGAGTATTTTCTCCGCTCTCACGCGAACACCCCTAAATCAAAAATAAGTCATGCTATCCGATAGAGCTTGCCGAGTTGAGTATAAGAACGCCCACGAACACCCAAAAAAACATTATAATCACGCTTTTTCCAGAGATATGTTTATGAACATCCACAAACGAAAATTATCTCAAGTAGTATTCCTCCACTGTTTGATAAAACACCAGAAACATCAACCATTCTTGAGCGAAATATTGCATTCTTTTTAACAGAATCCTTATTGAGTAAGTCATATCTGAGTATTTAAAAGTTTATTGCATGAACTATGTTTTGACCATCCGTGATTTATAGTGTAATCAAAAATCCTTTAAACCTTTATACACCTACGTATAAGGCACATTTGAGAATGATATCGTCAATACGTTATTTTTAGTCAAAATTGGTCAAAAAAAGGATAAATAGTAATGATAGAAAGAAATCGCTGTAAACTGACTATTTTATTTGTAGAAACTTATACAAGAAATGAAAAGTAACTTCTACTATACAGATGTGTAGCATCCTAGAACTTTTACGCATTAAATACGCAACAGATGCGAAAACTTTCATTGCAAATTGCTTGTGTTTGATATACTGAGACTTCTATGTTATAAGGAATACCAACTTCCATATATTCTGATCATTTTAGAGAAAATACTTGAGCTCTGATTGTTTTAGTTTTGGTTGATATGGTGTTGAAATCTCTAACTGAGCCTTACTGTGCCCCAAAATTTCTGTGCCACATATAAGCTGGAAAGCTCGAATTTTTATTGGATTTTGTAGCAATGACGTACGCTGTTACCTTAAGGGTAGCTTCCACTCGTTTTTTGCAGAAAAGTTTTTATTTTTAGCTGAACATAGTCTAGAGAAAGTTTGGGCTATGAAATAAGACCACTCCCCAGCTGCCCATGATCGTCCTTGAAAAAATTATGACGATTTAAGTTCTTCAGTCAGAGCCCAGAAAATTTCAATTTTTTCGGTTTGTAAATTTTTCTCACTTTTCCTATATATGTATTCAAAATTTTATCTTGTATATAGCACGACAGAAGACAGTGTGTTCTTTAAAATACGATGTCTTGCAGAATGTTCCGAAGAGTTTTCGTGCAGATATAAGCATCGCTGCTAATGTCGTGAAAAACAGAACCCTGTGTACAATATGTTTTTCTCGCTATGCGTTTTTTTCGATAGTCCCTCCAATCTAGTCATATTGCGATCCCTCGAAAAAATGGTCTGATCGAGCTCAAAATTTTACCACAGATACTGCAGATCCTGTCTCAGGTTCGTTTTTTTGGATAAGCGCTGTCGATTTCAACTTTCGGCGTGAGGTTTTCAAAATGCAAAGCCAGTTTCGTATGTGGGATTTCTGGTATTTTTCTGATTTCTCTAGAAGGAAAGCATATTTTTCGAAAAGAATAAAACGAACCTGGGATAGATCTGTGATAAAATTTTGAGCTCGATCGGAGTATTTTTTGGCAAAAATAGATCGATTTTCTTTTCGATGTTCCGTCTCTAGTATAAATTTCATCCCGATCCAACATACAGTACTGTAAAAAATTATAGAGCTACCCTATGACATCAAAGTTTTTCGTAATTTTTTCATCAGTTTCTTGACTTATCAGTTCGAATTACTTTCTCACTAGTAGATTCGAATACGCTCTTTCCGAATATGTTAAAAAGAAAGTTCAAATATCACATCGTTATCGCGAAAAAAAATAAACAAAAAAAAGATCCCACTTTTTGGTCGAAAAAATTATAGAGCCACTTGAAAATTTTTGCATTTCTGATGTCTTCTTGTTTTCAACATTTGCTGAATGAGTTGCCACGTGCTTTGATACACTGTCTTATACGTCTCGGGATTGAATCCACTAAACTTTGACACTCTTGACAGCTGACTTTATTCCAAAGATCGTGAATCATTTGTTCCAACTGAGTAACATTTGTCGGTTTCAAATATCGAAGCTTTTTATCAATATTATCCCACAAATTTTCAATCGGATTTAAATCCGGCGATGACGGTGGCCATTTCATAACATTAATATTTTTATCTTTTAACCATTTCATTGCAAATTTTGAAGTATGAGGCGGTGCATTGTCTTGCATATAAACCCAGTTTGGGTTTCCAGGACCAAATGCATTCTCAATAAAATCAGTTAAAGCATCTTTAAAGATTTCAATATATGCTGGACCATTAACTCTTCCAGTATAAGTGATAAGCAAACCACGTGCGCCTCCTGACATGCATCCCCACACGCTTACACTGCCACCTCCATCTTGCACACGTGGTATGAAATTGAAGGGTTCATCTTTTTCATTTTTAAACGACGAACAAATACACGATTTTTCCGATTTAACACTTCAAAATGAGCTTCATCACCCCAGATCCCATTATTCCATTCATTTAACGAATCTCGGTGTTCCAGAGCAAATTTTTGACGTTGCTTAATTTGTGACGGCTTTCTCAGTGGTTTGCGCTTTGCCGTATAACTTTTATAACCCATAGCCACGAGACGATTTCGCACAGTTCGAGCACACAACTGCTTATTATTTGAGAGTTTCTATTCAGTCGATAATACCTGGCTAGTTTTTGTTCGATCTTTTTTCATAATTCGCATTAAATTTCACCAGCAGTGGGCGTAGAGCCTTTTTTACGACCTTGGCCAGGTGAATTTGATAACGGTAATTTTCGTTTGACTTTGTTTGCAACACCTTGAACACATTTTCGTGATACCTTTAACACACGGACAACCTCCCGTTGACCCAAACCGGTACTCAATAATGTTTGGACTTCGATTTTCTTTTTCCAAACCAACTTTTTTGCGACCCATTTGGTAAATTTTGAATAAGCAGTAGAAAATAACAAAATTAAAGCTAATAAAATGATCTAAAATACTCAAAACATTTGTAAGAGGCATTTTAGAGCTGCTGTTGTGCAAAACTTCAGCGACAATTGCAAATTTTCTTGAAAAAATGCAAAAATTTTCAAGTGGCTCTATAATTTTTTTCACCAAAACGTGGGATCTTTTTTTTGTTTATTTTTTTTCGCGATAACGATGTGATATTTGAACTTTCTTTTTAACATATTCGGAAAGAGCGTATTCGAATCTACTAGTGAGAAAGTAATTCGAACTGATAAGTCAAGAAACTGATGAAAAAATTACGAAAAACTTTGATGTCATAGGGTAGCTCTATAATTTTTTCCAGTACTGTAGGCTTCCTCTGTTTCCAGGAGCCCTTAATACAACTCTTAATACAACCCGATATTTGAGTTCTTATTGTATTGATTTTTGGTGAGCACTACAAATTGAAAATCCGAAAAATCATTCAGAAATTTTCTAAAAATCTTCATTTCTACAAAAAGCAAAAGTATATTTTAAAAGTCAAGGTCTGTTAAGTTGTTGCCCAAAGTGAAATCTTTAAATATAAAACGATGATCACTTTCGAATAAGTCATTACGGAGAAACTCGGGCTATGGCAACAGCTGTGAAGTCAAAAATCATTTTGGAGAAAAGAGTCCTTTATACCATTTGTGCATGATTTTTGAGGTGTTTATGTTAGAATAACTTCCAACCATCAGCAAAACATTTTAAGGTGATCTTGGTCAACAGTAGGCCTATGACGATTCAGGTTTGTAACTTCGATTCTTTTTGAGAAAAGATATGTTGAACAGTTCTTTCAACAAGAAAACAATAGGTGTTCTTTGATCTATGATTCTTTGAACAGAACTGAACTGTTACAAAACTGTTGCAAAGTATCCAACGGTTTTGAGTATCAATTATCTCATCCCTGTTCTTTCGACACCTCGTCAGTCTTCTTCATCTGTTTTTATTCATACTGTTTCGTTTCCTCGCTTCTCTTCAGTTTTTGCTATTATAAGCGGGATGAATCCTACTTGTGGTTAGGAGGGTGTAGAGCACGAGAAGGTTGTTATGATCTGCCGTTCCTCGCAGCTCATAAGACTGTGTTTTCTTCTTCTTTTCCTTTCCTTCTGTTCTTGCGCAATACTTGTGTCATGCTCTGGCTTTCCCAACTCTTTCTGTTTTTGCGCAACTCTTGCATAACTGTTGTTCAGCTTGTGTACTATATATAGCCGTTCACTTTCTTAAATAAACGTGAGAAGTGAGTGAGTAGAACCTCACAAAGGTGAGTGAGTCACTACCCAACATTACCCGCTACGGTAGAAATTTCGAGAGGTTTATGAATTAACATTGGGAAAGAAATTTGTAACTGCTAATGGCCGCGGACTTTCCGCTTCCCTAGCGAATCTGATCGGGAATTCGAGAATTGTGTCTTCCACTTCGTCGTAGTTTCTAATGCAAGGAGTTTCAAGATCTTCTAATGAAATTCCGTAGCCGGATCATCTGAACGCAACTGTAATTTGAGTTTCAGAACTTTTGTATTATTTCAGTGGAAAAAAATAACAAGTGTCTCTCAGTTCTTGAATTCTTGAAGGAAGAAAAAGCTTGATGCTAATTCTTGAATTCTTTCTGCTAATCTTGAAAATTTTATTAATATAGTGTTCTATGAACTCCGCTGCCCCTTACTCGTTTTACCAAAAAGAATAGAGTATACAATAGATCATTTAATCGACGATCATTAAGATGTCTCTGGCTCGTGTGATGATGGTTGCAATTTGTATCGATACAATCATGATCACACGAGACCAAAAGCGATTCTTCTAACCCTTTGTGTTATTGGCATCGATACGATATACAAATAAATAAATAACAAATTGATACCAGTAAAATCTAGCATGTGACGTGTCACAGTGGAAGAAAAGTGAGAGCAAAACCGAATAAAAGAAAACCAGTGACATTCTTCTATTTATTCCACAATAATGTGATCTTTCTTCAGTTTTCATACCACTCATCCGAAGCGATGATTATGTTGGAAAAAACCCACAGAAGTGGGTATATATGACAGAAGAACGAAAGAGAAAGGAGTATTAGTAATACTTTTATTCTTGTTCTCATTCTTAGGCACGAACAACATCATTCATATTACAAGCATATGAAAACTAGCTGCAAAATATTCGCACTGTTGTAGAGAAAACTCGTGAACAGGTAACTCTTAGAATATTTAAAAACCTCTATCACCAAACATCTGTCGTTAGGAGTTTTAATTTAGTATTTTAAAAGATGGCGCGCAAAGCGAATGTTAAAAGCGCTTGTAGCTACGCACAACTATTTTTATTCGTTCTGTATGCTAACCAATAGAAATTCAAGATGGCTGACATGCCTAAAACTCAACACAGAGCGTACATAACGTCACGTACTTTCTGTTAAGGAGTTTCACATTTTAGCCCCGCTAGGGGCTACCCTGATAAGCTTTTTTATTGATAAGATGTGCTTTAGATGACAAACATTTTATTGTTCCTTTTAAAAAGGTTAACAATTAACAGATCTTACATTGACTTAACTATAATAAAAAATCTAAAGAAAAAGAAAACTCTTACTTTTGAATTTACAGAGCAAAAAAGGATTATTTAATTTTAATAAAGACATGCAGAAAATACGACCTCAGTTTTACAGAAACAGCACAGTTTTTTTCTCTTTCTACATTTTACAACAAAAAAAAAAGAAAAATAGTAAGAAAAAATTCACAAGAAAATAATTTTCTGCTAATAAAAATAAAAAAACAATTAAAGACAATAAGCTAACGCTCACCCATTGGAGCTTTTGGAAATTAATGCAAACCAATTTTAAAAAGTCTCATATTAAATTAGGTTGCATTAATTTTTTTCTGATTAAAAATTAATTTGAATTAATTTAACTTGATAAATTAATTCAAATTAATTGAATTTTAACCAGTTCGCATTAATTTATCATATTAAATTGATTCAGATCAATTTAACTCGATAAATTTCTACGAATTATATTCTACGAAAAACACCGTTTTCGCCAGCACTGAAAGGTGAAAAGAAAAGCACAGGATAGTGGTCAGAGTTCCCCTCTTCTAATCTTTCAACATTCCAGTTTTCTTTAGTTTTTCCTACGTAGAAGTCAATTATTGCAGTTGATTTTTTAGAGGTCGGAAACTTAGAGTGGATGCAGTCAAACCCATTCTCTACCATCCACTCGTTAAGTTTATTACCGCTCACATTATTTTTCTCGCAATTCCAATTCTCATGTTTAGCGTTAAAGTCACCAAAAAAGTAAATGTTTTTATCTTTATGTTTATTGAATAGGTCCAGTGGCGGAAGACTACTCGGGGGGACATAAATTCCCGCAACAAATAATTTCTTGTTCAAAACTTCTACTTCAAGTAAAATAAAATTTACGGATTGTTCTGAAATAGCGCATTTTATCTTTTGATGAACCAAAATAGCTACATCTCCAAAACTGTTAGATCCTTTTTGACTAAACCATTTGTAGTTTGGTACAGGGGGCAACTTTCCTATCTGTTTACCTACTCCAGTCAGAACAAATAGATGTGGAAAATGAGAAGAGAGAAGCAAATCGAAATCAGACAAATGAGTACTTAACCCCTCGCAGTTTCACAGCAAAACTATTAAATTTTCAGAACATGCTTTAGGCCGATCCTTTTTCCAGAGCTTACACAGCTCACTCACACAGTTAGCTGAATTCCATTCAAAAAAAAGAGAGGTTAAAATTTCTTTGTCTCTTACGTGCCCTTCAAAATAATCGATTAATTCTTCATGAAGATAATGGTCTTGACTAAACATTATTTACAGTGAAGAGAGTCGATAATGCTTTTTTCAAACTATTCACTTGTTCCATTGATATTGAATTCAATTCAATCTGATGACGATCATACTGGTGTTGTTTTTCTCTAATAAATGAGTGATGAGTTTGTAGCTGCTGAATAGTTTGATCAAATTCGGTTAAGCCCAAAGCGGTTTTAATGTTCTTTACTGTTGTACAAATATTTTCAATTACTAATAGACAGGTGTCAAACATTATTTCACTAACTGCTACATTTGTTTTTGAAATCATCTTTCACTGAATTTCATGTCCCTGTTCCATTAAAAGCCATGCTTGATTCATTGCAGCAATATGATTTTTGTACTTCAAATCAATTATTTCTTTTTCAGCTTCGTGACTTTTTTTCACATCTTCTAACCTTTTAGCCAGGGTCTTGATTTTTTCATTTAATTCAGACTGAGTGGAGACTGAAGTGGTATTTGTGGTTATTACTGGAACTAAACTCGGCCAAGCTTGAGAATCATTTCTATCATAGTAATTTTGATTCACAGAATTTTGATAAGGTCCACCGTCATATCGTCTACTACTAAAAATTGTTCGTGCTCCGTCTTTTTTATTTCTGTAATCCGAGGGAATAAACAACTGAACTTGAGGCGGGAGTCTTTCCGGATGATTTTTCAGCTGTCTAATTAATTCACGGCGAAAATCAGATATCAAAGGACATTTGTAACTTGTTGCTTCATGTTCACCACCGCAGTGATGACATTTGACAATACAACTTTTATGTGCTTGAATGTTAGTACGATCGCCACCGCACCTACGACAAATATCAAAGGCTGAACTTTGACAATTTTTCTTTGTGTGCCCTGGCGGTTACACCGGCCACAGATCAAAACTTTTGGCGCAGGAAGAAATTCGTTAACTTCATAACTATCACCCATCAGATTCACTTTACCACTGTTTAACAAAGATTCATACTCACGACGATTTAACACTTCAATTTTCACATGACGAGTATATTCAGATTTTGTGCCATGCATTGATTCGAGATAATAAATGCTTTTATAATTCATTTTCAACTCTTCTCTAATATCATCATCCTGTACATCGTTAAGAATCCATTTGACAATTGCTGTATATTGAGGAGGTAGGTGAAGAGGTAGAACAGGAGATATTTCAGTGCCATGCAGATGTTCTGGATAACGTTCATTATTACAGAGAAAGACATAAAGTTCAGTATTTTTAATCAGAATCTGTAAATCACCCGATAAATCAATTCACCACGAATCGAAGAGAATCTCAGTAGAGAAAGATGGATTTTCTTTACGAAAATCTTGCTTTATAAAACTGATTAATTCATTGATCATTTTCACGACTTTTTCCTTATCTTGAAGCTTTGGCTGACATACTAATTTGAAAGGTGTGTAGTGGTAGTCGGCTGCGTAATCCTGAGCATGATCTGTAATTCTAATTTGTCTTTCGTTTGATGAATCTGGTTGTTGAGCAAAGGAAGTAAGGACAGGAAACTGTTGCTGACGCGTCTGATTTGTTTCTGTCTGTTTCGAGTTCACAAAGGTTCTTCCGGTTTGTTGTAGACGGTACTCTTTGTCACTGTTTCCATTGAATCGTTTACTATTGTTGTAAGAGGGTGCATTTTGCCATTCATCGTTCATTTCAATGACTTCATTATCTATTCCAAATCTCTTTCCGTCACTTGTAGGCATTCTTTTCATCGAGCCTGTCTTTTGCTGTTTATGTAATTGCTGTTGTTGAAAATTATCCAGTGTCAATTGGAGTGATCCGCCATTGCATCCGAAGTCTTTCTCTGCCACTGTTTCATTATTATAATTAGAATAGTCTGTCATTACATAATCCTTGTACCTGTTGACCTTTAATTTACACTATAACCTTTGACAGAGCGCAAAAATGTTGTTTGTATGAGATGTGCTTTAGATAAACTGCTGTGTTAATACCTAAAACTGTGAAGTTATTGTCAATAATAGGAAAAATGTGAATAAGAAAAGGTATGATACATTATCGTAGGGACTATACCCTTATCACAGTGTAAATATACATTTTGCAATAAAATGATTTGTAACATAAACGATAGTATTCACTTAAGAAAAAAACGTCATAACAACCTAGGTCAGCATAATTACTGAGTACGTTGTACTAAATCAGATCTAAATAACATAAAATATAAACATACAACCGTGTGCATTACCTTGAAATTAACGGTGTGCCGCTCTCTAGTTTGAAAAGTCTTTTGGTTTTAGCTAAAAAATGAGACTACTCAGACCCTTTCAAACCTTTCTTCAAAAACTTGTAAGTTTATAAAGTTTTTTCTTCACAGCATAAAAAACTTCAATATTTTAGTTTCATAAATTTTGCTTTCATTTTCAGTTCCAACTCAAAACTGTTTCTTAGACATAGTCTAATAGAAGAAAGTGTCGTCTTCGCAATGAATTCTTTCAAAATTTTATGACTTTTTAGGGCTGTAAGTGTCGCAGCACTGTCCTGGAAAAAGTGATATATCTACAAAACGTGTTTTTGCCAGTATGCGTTTTTCGAATAGTCTCTCCAATCCTGTCACATTATGACTTTTCGAAAAAATGCACACCGATCGAGATCAAATTTTTATCACAGATACTTTAAATTCTATCTCAGGCTCCACTTATTTTAACCGTCCTGTTATGATCTTCACCTTCGGTTAGATCATATCATCACTTTTCCTATTCTTCTTATAAAATACATATATATACTTTTGTGCGTTATTCTCTATGTTCTGGGATTTTCCCCATATGTAACTTTCTCTATTCTGTTTCTTTCCTTTCTTTTCAATGATGGAGTTTCTCCCTATTCTGTCTAGGGAATTTCCTTTAACTCGGACATGTCCATATCTAATGCATTGTTCATAAACCTATATATAGTTGCTGATTTTTTATAATAAAGTGTGAGTGTATCAGTTATATGCATCTTTGGATAT